CCCTCCCCCCCCACCCCCCCCCCGCCGCTGCTGCTGCTGCTGCCGCTGCTGCTGCTGCTGCTGCTGCTGCTGCTGCTGCTGCTGCTGCTGCTGCAGCAGCAGCTAGAGGGGGTGCCCCCTGAAGAGCGCGCCGGGGACCTTGCGGACGCAGTAAGTGTTGAAGAGTTTGTGGGTTTTGGGGCAGCTGCGCTTCGGGGGTTTGGCCTCGAGTTTGAGGCAAAAGCCTTTGCCGTCTTTTTGAAAGCCTTCTTCGCAGTTGTCGTTGGCGGGCAGCCGCTCCGTCCAGACGCAGTCTTGGCCGCGGAGTTTGGCATTTAACGGACAAGTGCATGCGGCCTGGGCGAGGCTTTTCCTGCTGCAGCTGCTGCTGCTGCTGCTGCTGCTGCTGCCTTGCTGCAGCTTGAAGCCCATGGGGCAGTTCAGCAGCAGCGGGGCCTCGAAGAGCCGCACGCAGGTGCCCTGGGGCGTGGCTTCGCCCTCGGGACAGAAGGGCTTTGCTGCTGCTGTCTCTGTGGAAACGCAGTACTTGTCTTTGAGGAGGGCCCCCTGGGGGCACAGCAGCTGGGGCCCCACGAGGGCCTCCCTGCTGCAGCCCTGGCCGCTGCTGCGGAAGCCCAGGGGGCAGCTGGGGCCCAGGGGAGCAGCAGCAGCTCTTCGGACGCACTGGCCTGCTTCCAGCAGCGCATCTGGGGGGCACTTGAGGGCCGGGGGGCTGCTGCTGAGGACCTCGCAGCTGCTGCTGCTGCGCTGCAGCAGCGGGCCCCCTGCTGCTGCTGCTGCCTTCCCGCTGCTGCGGCTGCCCTCGGGACACACGCTGCTGGCCTTCGCTGTCCGCCGCTGCACGCACTGCCCCTCCAGCAACTCCGAGTCCTTGGGACACAGCAGCAGCAGCTCCTTCTCGAGGACTTTGAGGCATTTGTTTTCTGCCAAGTGATAGCCGGGGGGGCAGCTGCTGCTGGGGGCTGACAGCAGCAGCAGCAAACAGTCTTTGCCGTCAAACTCGAAGTCTGGAGGACACACTGGGTTTGCTGCTACTCGCTGGCTGCTGCGGCAGAGGCCGTCCTGCAGCAGCGCGCCCAGCGGGCACTGCTGCTGCGGCGGCGAGACTTCGAGTTTGCTGCAGCTGCCGTTCTGCAGCACAAAGCCCAGCGGGCAGCTCTGTGCTGCAGCAGCAGTTTCCTCCACAAGACACTTCTCGTGGCCCCCCTGCTGCTGCAGCACAGCCCCCGGAGGACACACTGCTGCTGCTTTCTGTTTGCTTTCGCGGAAGCAAACTTCCCTGTCTTCCGAGGGCTTGAAGCCCGGCGGACACGAGACTGCAGCAGCAACTTCTTGCGTTTTGCTGCAGCTCACTCCGTTGAAAACGAAGTTTTTTGGACAAGACGAAAGCGCTGTTGTCTTCTCTTCAAACTCGCACTTCTCCCCCACCAGCTGCTGCCCCACAGCGCAGCTCAGCTCCGCCTTCGTCGCCCGCTCCACCACGCACTCCGCGCCCTGCAGCAGCAGCAGCAGCAGCAGCAGCAGCAGCAGCAGCAGCAGCAGCAGCAGCGGCAGCGGCGGAGAGAGGGGTAACGGCGGGGGGCAACGGGCGCCTTTCGGCAACGGAGGGCGCGCGAGGCTGAGGGATTCCTAGCTAGCTAGCTAAGGATACAGCTGGCTAGCTAGCTAGCTAGCTAGCTGGCTAGCTGGCTAGCTAGCTAATGAGGCATGTAGCTAGCTAGCTGAGGGGCTAGCTGGCTGCCTGGAACAATGCCTAGCTGGATTGCTCCTGGATGAGCGCCTAGCTGGATGGATAGCTGGAGAGCTAAAGGCCTAGCTGGATAACTGGCTAGCTGGCTAGCTAGCTGGATGGCTGGCTAGCTGCCTAGCTAGCTGACTAGCTAGCCAGCTAGCTAGCCACCTAGTTAACGAAGTGGCTGTGTGCGTGGGTAGCTCTCGAGCCAACTCTACAGCTAGCTAGCTACCCAGCTAGCTAGCTGCCCAGCTAGCTAGCTAGCTAGCTAGCTAGCTAGCTAGCTAGCTAGCTAGCTAGCTACAGGGAGAAGGCATGACGGCACGTGAAGCAGCAGAATAGCCAAAGGCCTGGCCTTTAGGGTTTCTGCTGCCCCCATAACCCTTTAAACTCTAAACCCTAAACCCTAAACCCTCTAAATCCTAAACCCTAGACTCCGAAGCTTCCTAACTCTCTAAACACTGAACGCTAAACCTCCTCATAAACCCTCTAAACCCCTATAAACCCTCAGAAACCCTCATAAACCCTCAAACCCTCATAAACCCTCATAAACCCTCATAAACCCTCATAAACCCTCATAAACCCTCATAAACCCTCATAAACCCT